AACACTCCGTGTGATGCCTTCCCTGTAATATGTCACAAGTAATATGCTATGTTACGTGCAAGAACATTCCCTGTGATTCCTTCCCCTGCTCTGGCATGGGTGTGAACCAGTAGTCTCGATGTTAAGTGTCAGCCGGTAACTGCAGGTATCTGCTTTTTAGTGTACAACTTAAGCTGTTTTATGCTTGGCTTTTCAGATGTGCCAAGACATGCCAGTCACCTCACTGCTGGTGATGCATCTTACGGTGCAGGGCCTGGGCAGTCACCAAAATCATTGGAACAGCCAAAAACTTTAGCTGGGAATTGTATTTCTTCTTGAGATACAACTTGAAGTAAATTATAATTTGAGCATCAAAGACTGTTAGTAGAGTTTATTATTTAAATATCTTTTTAACATAATGGATCATCAAGCAGTTGAAGTAATGTGGTCTTTCATGCTCTTTTCAATTCCATGTGAGATGAACCAATTGCCATAACTCTTTCTTTAGAAATATTGAGTGTCTGATCTGTGATTATGTGGTGTCTGTTTCACTAGATGAGAAGACTAGTTAGAAACAAACTAATATTTAATTGTAACTTTAAAAAAATAGTTTTTAGTTCTTCAGAAATTAATGAGAGCCTAATTGGAGGTTAAATTCCAGCTCTTTTCTTTTACTCCAGGTGCTATTATAGCTATAGCCTTACCCAGAGATAATCTAGTGAGAAGAAAAACCAATTGAAGACTGGAAGGGAAAAAAAAGGACCAACTGCTTCTTATAGACAGCGGACTGAAATTAGGTGTTAAGTGGGTTTCCCAATTCTTCAGTTTTCAGTGAGTTTATGTTATAGAACCAGAAAATAACATCAGTTCCATTCGTTTCATGTTCAGTGCTTTAACTACAGGACTGTCTTTTATCTGGAAATCGTAGAATCATAGAAAGTTTTAGGTTGGATGGGACCTTTAAACATCATCTTGTCTGGTGTGTAAAGCATTTGTAGATGCAACACAAGGTTATTCCTCACTATATACATTTTAGGTGAAAGAGGCTTGCAAGGTGAAAGAGGCTTGCAGACCCTGATAGTATTTCTTTTACCCAGAAAATCTCACTAAATTGTACACTTACAAAGTGTGAATCAACCCTGAGAATTCCCTTTTGAATAATGGTTATGTTAGCCTTAAAGGGCATTCTCAATGCATCTGACAGCTTCCTTTTCCAGTTCCATTTTTCCCGTGTCCTGTCCCCTGCTGTTGATGTCACCTGCTACCAACAAAGATGGACGTAGTACTTTTTCTTTATGAAATGTCCTATTTTGATTGTTTTTGTTTCTTCTCCTCTTTTGTTTCTTCTGCTCTTTATCCTTGTTGCAAAGCTTCATTAACCAAACTCCTGTTTTTCGAAGTTTCAGCAGCGTGTTTTGGAGAGTGTAAGATTTGCCAACCATATTATGAATTCTGTGGTACTAGTAGTGTTTTTCAGTCTCATCAGTTGAACTTGATCATATTTGTGATGCAGCATGTACTGTGTTAAAAAAAAAAGAACATTCTAAGTATAGTTTCAACTAGCTGTGAAGTAAAAAAAAAGAAGCCATGAGTGCATTTTTATTTATAAGCGTATATTTTCTGGAGCTTTTTTTCCACAGGCGATTAATAGTAGTTTATGCTGAATCAGACTGAAAGGAGTTTCACTTTTTCCTCCTGCAAATGTGAGAGGCATTGAGATTCACTGTAAGATACAGGACTGTGACCAGCATTGGATTACACCAGTGTAAGGACAGTCATCATGCTCTTGAAGTTCTGGTTAGGACTTTAAAGCCCATTCAATCTAGTTTTAATGGGCAGTCATGCCAACTGTAAGAGTTTCTGACATGAGGTCAGGTTTCAGTCAGAAGCTTGAGAAAAGTTAGCTACCAATCTGTTTCTTCACTGTTGTTCAGAAACAAAAAAAAGCAAGTAGGAAATTACTTAAAGTAATTGCGATCAAATTTCATTTTTTAACTGCTAGTTTCTTGAGGTTTGAATCAGCAGGACTGACCATCTTTATTTCCAGAATATGCTGCTCTGGACAACTCCATGAAATCTATGGCAATTTCTTTGCTATTTGGGTTATATTTTTAAAAATAGTGATTTTTATCACTAATGTGCTATAAATCCAAAACACTGCACTGTACCAGCTACTAAGAAGAAAATTAATTCTATCCCAGCCAAACCCAGGACAATTATGCAGACCTTTCCAAAGTTCCAATGGAATGTTACCCATGTAAGGTACTTTGCCTGAAAGAATTATTTGTCAGTTAGTTAATGAATTTTTCTCTTATCTTCATAGCATCTTTATGAGAGCACTTAGTTTTTTTTCAGAAACTTTAGTATAAACTAGTTACTTTTAAAGTAACTCTATGCAATTGCTAGAACTCAATATCTATTTCTCCAAAATCCAAATTTGAGATTCTTCGATACTCACAACGATTTCAAACATGTTACTGACAGATTCAAGATGAAAGCAAGAAATACAGCTAGATAGGGAAATAAATGTACAAGTCACAACGTTTTGTAACAGATACTTGCAGCATGTGAAAAGAATCATTTTGGGTCAGTTCTGATTAGTGATTCCAGCTAAGTTACTCAGCACAGAACTGAGACATTTTAAAGCTGCAAACTTTTGTAGAAGTGTCTGTACACTAGGGAATTGTCCTTGGAGAGGACTGACAACTGTTCATGTGGTGGGTGCAGTGATTGAAACCTTGGACCTGAGTGCAAAGCTGTTTTAGTGGGAAGGAGCTAGAGAAATGGTTTGGTTCTATGGTAAAGCTCTAGGCATGTTTATAGTGCAGGATGTGAGTCCATGCAGTAATTGCAAATGTATCCTTTAATCATTCTGCCTTTTTTTATAAAAGCTTGTTACATAGGGTACCTGGAATTTGATACTCTCTCACTAATGTTTTCTCTCTTTTTGATCTGTCTCCACTTGTGCTGTACAGTCATAACAAACAAGGCTTTTAAAGTTATTAATATCACAACAGCTTTCTATTTGGTATTTATAGGTTCTGAACACTTGTTTCCATCACTCAAATCTTATCCCAAGGGACAGTCTTTCTATTTTATTTATGTTGAAGGTTACAAGCTGTTTTTCCTGTGGTTTAGGGAAATAAAGATCAGACTTGCATCTTCATCTGTTGAGACCTGCATGCTTTATCTTAGTTATGGCAGAAGCTATTGGGACTCAAGCTATCTCTTTGTTTGCCTAGCATTTAGTGCATGAGGACTCTTAAATGAGGATTCAAGCTATACTTCTATATAGCTGAACGTATTTTTACTGTTTGGAAACGTGCCTTCATCTCTAGATTGTACAACCCCTCCATCTCTTATTGAAGCACCATAAAAGACTTGTTAGTACAGAAGAAATATAAGGTATGAAAAAAAACTGTTTTGAGAATGGAGGGACAAAAGCTGCCCCAAGATGGGGGACAGAGTTATCCATGTGCATTGCTCATGTTAGCTGTGTAGTGACTCTGAGCTTGGTTTCTTGTAGATACATTTGTACAGTTTTTAGTTTCAGCGATGGAGGAGTGATGAGGGTTATATTTCTTTGTGCTTTGAGTACAGAAAGAAGAGAAACATTATTCAAGGTGTAGCTGTTGGTTGAATTTGATAACGTTTTTAGCACTAGAGAATGAAAGCTGAACAAAAAGATAAGATGTCAACCAAATTCCACCACTAAGTGATGAATGAAGAACCTTTTGCTCTGTGACTATGAAGGCTTTCACTATGCCTGCCTGATTTCTTGTGGTTGCTTCAAAGAAAGATATTGTGGACAGAGCTGGTTGAGAATCTTCAGTGATATTATTTGAAACACAATTTTCAAAACTTACACTTCCCGTATAAATGTTACCTGTTGTGATGGAAATATCGGGAAGAATTTATAGCCCTAGCGTTGAGGGTTGGCTGTAAGGGAGGAGGGAGAGGGATGGGGACCACAAATTAGTAACTGAGTTTGAGCAGATTTTTAAATTTGCATCCCAAGTGATTGTGCCTCTATTTTCTTGAGCCTTTGTGTATCTATTTCTGTGTCCATAACAGGACATTAATAACTGACATAGATCTGGCTGTCATTCTCAGCTGCTTTCACTTGTCTTTTTTATTTGAGGCCCAGAGGTGTTACAGAATAAGCTATCTGCCCAGGCACTGCAGAGGAATCTTTCCCTATATGACATGCTGAATTCACCTATTCCAGCAGCAAGGGACCTTAAAGGCTGGTATTGCTGGTTGAACTGCACACACTTTCTGTAATGATGTGATTAATGTCAGATGGTCCATGACAAAATGACCCTGTTTCAAAATCACCAGATTAAATTTGAGGTCAGTCATAACATGGTTTCGGCCAAAAAGCATTCTAAAAGTGTCTGTTCTAGAGGAACTTGATTCCTGTACTGTAATAACATGCTTCTTCGTTTGGTGGGTACAGAAGCAGAAATTATGTCAAGGCACTGTGGGTGGTCTTGGCCCAAGATCTCGTTTAGTGTTGGATCAATGCCTACCTGCCCCACCTGCAGTAATGGATTCTGACTCTGAAGAGTTTTATGGAAAGCAAAAGCTTTAACTTATGTTTCTTTTTTCCTTTTTGGGAATTTATATATAGTATAAATATCAAACTTTTTCCCAGTGGTGCACTGCAAAATATTGACTTTGCAGCTTCATTCTAGTTATTCCAAGTTGCGCTTAATAATTCATAGATAAATTTATCTTTCTGCTCAGTTGCCTCCCAAAAAATCCAATTTTTTTTCCGCACATACTCAAGTCTGTTGAAAATGTAGTGTATTTAAAAGTAATTTTCAATTTCCATCAGCAATCATTACTGTTCATTCAGAAATTAACTAAATTTGGGGGCCGTGTTATAGTGATCATAATAAAACTTTCAGGATATTGACATCTGTGAAAGATTTTGATTTAATTTGTTAATTTCTGAGGAACTTGACTGATAAATTTTAATGGAATCTCTTACTTGCCAGTTCTGTGGGGGTGCAAGGATGAACGTGAATGAACGTAACTGCTTCTTGGAGGCTCAGTAGGGTGAGGAGAGTGGTCTGTCTTCTGAAGGTGAAACCTCTTTGTACCCATAACGTTATACTGATGTTCTGATGTTACTATGATGCTGATGAAAATGGAGTCTTCTTTTGATTAGGACAGGTTATTTCAGACAGCTGGCTTGTGCTACCTGTGATCTTCAGGAAGTGTCATGGTTTAACCCCAGCTGGTAACTAAGTACCATGCAGCCACTTGCTCAGTCCCTCACCCCATGGTGGGACAGGAAGGATAATCAAGAAAAAAGAAGTAAAACCTGTGGGTTGAGATAAGAACAGTTTAATAATTGAAACAAAGTAAAATGTAATAATAGTATTGAAAAAGGAGACAACAAAAAGAGAGAAGTAAAACTGCAAATCAACAAGTGATGCACAATGCAGTTGCTCACCATCTGCTGACTGATGCCCAGCTGTCCCCAAGTTTATATACTGGGCATGTTGGTCTGTGGTATGGAATATTCCTTTGGCCAGTTCCGGTCAGCTCTCCTGGCCATGGTTCCCTCAGCCTCTTGTGCACCTGCTTGCTGGAAGAGCATGGGACACTGGAATGTCCTTAACTTAGGGTGAACACCACCATGTCACCAACATTATTGTCCTACTAAATCCAAAATGCAGCACTATGCTGGCTACTAGGAAGAAAATAAACTCTATCCCAGCTGAAACCAGAACAGGAAGACAGTATCTCTGTGCATCATTTACTGAGGAGGGAATCAGGGGACTCCTTACCTGTGACACTGGATCTACAGTTCTATAGGGTAGGGACAATCTCCTATAGTCCATCTGTACATTAAATAGTACAGTGACAGTCCCAGGCACTGCCAAAATATGAATTTAGCACAAAATAAAAAATTATAAATATTTAACCTGTTTGCTGACTTATTAGTCGTTTCTTATACTGGGGATTTGTCTATAGTTCTGTTATTCCAATACTCGCTTTAAAGAGGAGGTCTGTCTTTATTGACTCTACAGAATAACATTTCTATGTACAACAGATGGCATATGTTCTTGCAGTCTATAAATTTTATGTAAGACTTGTAAAGTGTATTAGAGCTATTTGATGAAAGCTTTTTTTGAGCTAGAAGTACACTGGTGAGGAAGAATTCCTTTTGATTCCAATTGGAACCAGTTTTTCTTAGCACAGCGGTGACTCCTCCTTTGGAAGAAATACGTGTATTTCTGAGGATAAATCTGAGGATTTTTCCTGTGTTTCTCTGGGTACTTTATATAACTTGCTATTACATAGTTTTTGGCTGTGGGGTTTACTGAATGTTGTTCTTGGGAAAGCTACCTAGAATTTTTATGTATCTTACAGCAAAGTTTTAGATACTGTTAATGATTATTTCATGAATCAGCTGCTTAATGAGATCTTTGATTTGGTAGTCTGTGCAGAATCCAGTACACAGTCTGAGTTAAAGCCACACTTTGTAGGAGTCATCAGGGTGTATTAGATTCAGTACGGGGACAGCTAATGTAGGGACTGGAACAATTAAACCTCAAAAGTCCTTTGCAGTTAGGCTTGACTTTCAGAAGAACTATGTTAAAATGAGGAAGTTATTTCAGAATGAAGTTAAAAACTGCAAAATAAATATTTAGCTGGTGGTGTTCTTGCAGAGTTGTGTCCAAACACAACTGAAGCATCATAAACCCTAGCAGATGTAATTTGAAAATAGACACATCTGGGGGAAAAAAATAAAAAAGGTCAAGGATCAGCTTGAAGGAGTCAAAGCTTTTACTAAATCCTTCTTAAGTACATCAAGAATAAAAACCCTGCTGAGGGTCTGGGCAGCCAGTTGATTAAGTTATCTGTATAAAAGAAGCACTCAGAAAGGGCATGGCTACTGCAGAGAAGCTAAATTAAATGGTGTTTGCTGCTAACTGGGAGGATTCCCAAACTGAAATTTCTTTTTTTGGGGTGGAGGCAGGGAAAGAGAGGGGTTGACCTAAAAAAACTTGAGGGTGAAATAACTTGCTTGCTAAGAGTGATGTCTGATCTCATGCTTTTAACTCCCTGGGTACCTGAAGCATGGATGGTGGCAGATTTTATTCCAGTATTTAAAACAAGAATGACCAGGGGTCTGTAAACCTGACATCGATACCTGTCAAATTTATAGATACTGTAACAAAGGATAGAAGATGCACAAGCGAGTAGGATCAACTTGGGAGGAGTCTGTACAATTTCTTTAAAGGTACATTCTGCTTTACAAACCTGTTGCAACTTTCTTGACGTGGGTGTGCAAGTCATCTAAGATTTAGATTCTCAGAAGGCTTTTGATAAAATTTGCCATCAGAGGCTTTTGAACAGCCATTGAATAGGAGTACAGGGCTTTGTATATTAAGTAATGGATTAAGTAGGAGGAGGGGTAAATGATTGATTTCATTTTTTCATATGTCAGAGGGAAGTTACTAGCAGAGTTTTTGAGGCTTTGGTCTTAGGATTTGTGTTGTTCAGTATAGTAGTTATGGGGATGGTAAAGGCATTGAGTAGTCAAATGAGAAAGCTTACTGATGTTACAGTCAAGGCAGAAAAGAATATTTGAAAGAAATTATTCAATATAATTGCACTGCTTCTACAGTTCTCAGTCATCACTGTTGGAGATTGAATACTGGGCTGTATTCACGCTTTGTCCATACTGGTATGGCCATGGGGCTCTTATTTTGTTGTGTGGACTGGTGAATTTGGTATCTGAGATTTATTTTAAATTGTGCATATTTAAGTTTATAGAGAGTAATATAAATTTCTTTACATACATTTAGCTGTAGATAAGAAAAAGAGAGGTTAAATTTCCTGTTTATTTTCCTTTATTTCTTTCAGTATCATTTTATGGTGATAGCTTTGTAGAGCTGATCATGGCAGAGGTATCCTCTCAGACATCTTTACAGTTGCAGTTTCAAACAAGCAAGGCACAGGGACTGCTTTTTCTTGCAGCTGGGAAGACAGATTATTGTTTAATGGAGGTACACTCAGGATATGTACAGGTATGCTTTATAACTGTACCTAAAAAGGTATGTGTAGCCTATATTGCTCAGTGTTTTTCTTTAAGCTGTTGTCTATATCAAGTCTCAAAGTTTCTGTTTAAAGAAATGGAAAAATCACAAAATATAATTGATAATTTCAAAATATGGTATTTATTTCTTACAGTTATATCTCTATAGGCTTTGAGATATCTAGATTTTAAAATCAAGGTGATTGTGTTCAAAGCATGACATTCAGTAAAGGCAGAATTTCAGATTTGATGATGTTAGCATCATAAAAAACGTTTGGATCCAAGTAATTGTTTTTCTGCAAGGTAAGGTCTTGAAAGATCATTGTCAGTTGGGTTCTCAGGATTGCTTTTCCTCACAGAACTGCAGAGAAGTCCATTCCTGCTTCTGGAGTTATTCAGGTCGTATTTGTCATGGCAAGTAAACCTACACAGAACTTTAGTGGGATTTTATTTTTTCAATTATATTTTGTAAATTATGTGTTTAGTATGAAAATGTGTGAAAATTAATGTATTAACCATATATTAATATACGACTGCGAAAAACACAACTTTGGATTTTGATAGTTAAAATTCTATCTCTTGCAGTTGAGAATTAACTTTGGTGTGGGGGAACGAGTTCTGCATTCTCAGCAAAGATCTCAGCTGAATGATTTAGCCTGGTTGAACTACATCATGAACATGATAATGTCACATTGGTAATTGATAAACATGATAGAACTAGTGCAAAAATGCCTGGAATTCTCTATGAATTAAACATCAATTATGGATTCTACATAGGTAGTACTAGTAAACTTGATGTTCCCTACCTTGTTGGAGCACTACCCAGTTTCCGAGGATGTATTGATGATGTGTTGTTCAACCACAGAGACATTTTGATGCCTCTGAGACCTTCTCCTGGTTTCAAAATCATCCATGAAGTTTCGGTGGGATGTAGTGATGAATTCTTTGTGGGTGAAGAAGAACCCATTAGTTTCTTCAGTTCCAGGTCCTATGTTTCTTTCCCATCATGGAATGTGGACGATGAGGGAAGTTTCGAGTGTACATTGCAAACCTCAGCTGCACGTGGCTTGCTGCTTTACCACCCTGGGCAATTGGGAGATTTCATTGCAATGGAAATGGAAGATGGTTTAATTAAAGCTTATGTTGGAAAACATAGACATAGAACCCATCTTCTCGTAGATCGGTCAATGATAGTCATTGGCACTACATCAAGCTGAAATTTACTGCAGAATATTTGCAGCTGACATTGGATGAAGAAACTGTGAAAAAATCATTGCCTCCCCATAGTAAGCTGCCAATTCTGAAGGGATCCCTCTTTGTAGGTGGTGTAGAAGACAGCATACGATCAGAAGTGGTTAAATTAGAGCTAATCTCAGTATCTGGGAAGTATGCCAGAGGAGGATCCTTCAAAGGTTGCTTAAGAAACCTGAAAACCAACTCAGAAAAGAAATCGCTGAAGAATGTTCTGGTAACTAAGGACATTTCAGCTGAATGTGAAATGCAGAGTGCTTTTAATATGAATCTTTCTTTAGAGATGGCTGTAAAGAACCCTCCTGTGAAAACAGCCCCAGTATTTGCCATTTCTCATGAAAGCTCTGTCTCTCTGGGCAAGGAAGATAAGAGCCACCTTTTAGTTCTAAGTAACTTGATTGTGCCAGAGGGTGGACAAGCTTCACTCGAATCTAAGCATATTAAGGTCAGCTTAGACTTTGAGAAATTAGGAATTCATCAGTTACAAATTCTTTTTGAAATAAAGGAACCACCTTCTCAGGGAGACTTGAAACTAAATATTGGACCAGTACGGGAGGTAAATACATTTACTATGCAAGATGTGTGGCAAGGGAAGATTCTTTATGTCCATGATGGCTCTGAGGACACTTCTGATTATTTTAATTTCTCCATTTCTACCAGCAGTGAGAAGATCATGCCTCCATATTTTCAAGAAAATGAGCAACATGTGTTTAACGTTACTATCATTCCAGTAAGTGATGCACCTGAGATCGCACTTCCTGAGGAAAACTTGCTGCTTCTCTTAGAGAACTCAAAGAAACGTTTGACTAGAGACCTGATAAAAGTTCTAGATAAGGATACAGATTCTCAGGGTCTCGGTCTTTCAGTCCTTGGAAATCTGAATGCAGATGCAGGATTTTTAGAAAACTCAAAGCATCCTGGAAAAGCCATTACTAGTTTTTCTAATGAGGACTTAAGGTACTGTTTTCTTTGTCCACACAGGTGTCAAGAACTCAAGGCTTGTTCTCAGGGCAAGTGACGGTGAGAAGGTGAGCAACACTGTTGTGTTACGTGTCATGGCAGTTCCTTTGGATTACAGAGTTGTCAACAACCCAGGAATAAATCTACTCCAAGGTATTACACCTAGGCATCTGGCAGTTGAAACAAATGCTGTCCGCCAGGAACTGGAAATACAGTACGAAATCACAGAGCCACCTCAGTTTGGTCAAGTCCAAAGGCAGCATTCAAGGGGGGACTGGAAGCAAGTCAATTGTTTTTATCAACGCTCTCTTCAGCGCAGCCGTGTGAGATACTGTAGCACTTCTAAAGAAATTCAGCTGGAAAATGTTACCGACCAATTTAAATTCAAAGTTAGTGTAGGAAACAGAATCAGTGAAGAGCATACATTTCCAAAGTGAAATGGTTAAGGTTCACTTTATTGAAACACAGTCCTCTAGAAATTGAAAAGTCAAAAAAGAAGTACTTGAATTCTGATAATCTTTTTGCTGTTATTGCAGATCTAGAAATACCTGAAGATGAGCTTCATTTTAAATTGCTGTCTCTACCAAGAAATGGACAGATACTGCTTAATGACCAGCCTTTGAAAAAAGATTCAGTCTTTAGCCAAAAAGATATTACTGATCAAAAAGTGGCATATGAATTAATCAGCAGATACCATGAAGACAACTATGATTCATTTAGATTCCTAATTTCTACAAAGTATCTGGAATAAAATTTGTATGACTTTGAAGTCTACATCAAATCAGATTTTGGAAACATTATTTTGACTAACAATGGCCTTAATGTTACTGAAGGTGAAGGAGAGTTAATAACGAGCACGAAATTGTTTGTGCAAACAGTAAATAATAAAACTTTCCAATACAGTTATACAGTTTCCTAAGCATGGGAAATTAAAACTTATTGATTTTTCAGGCCCTTCTGAGAATAATGACAATCTCACAACTTTCACTAATAAAGATATAACCAATAACCGCCTTATGTATGTGCATGACGATTCTGAGACAGTGTTTGATGAATTTCTTGTCAGAGCTTCCAGCAGAGAGTCAGGAAAGTGGGCAAACTTTAATCCAGAAGTAGAACCTTTGTCAGTAGAAATTAGATTCAACATTTCTGTCCAGCTGAAGAATGATGAGAAACCAATACGTGTGATTGATACGATATTTAACATAGTGAGAAATGGGCAGTGATTATTGACTTTGGCAGATCTTTGCTATCATGATCCTGATTCTGATTTTGATGATGGACAGTTGCTATATATTAGACGTGGTATTTCCAATGGGGACTTGGTGCTAACAAATGATACTTTGCATAGACTCTACCAATTCAAACAAGCGGACCTGGAGCAAAAGCAAGTCCTGTTTCTACACCGTGGTGCAGATTTTGGGTGTTTTGTTCTTTTTGTGACAGATGGCAAGCACTATACTTCTTTGCTTCTGGAAGTTAATGCCACTGATCCTTATGTTAGGCTGGCAAATAATACAGGACTGTTGGTTCAAAATGGGAAAGAGGAAACTGTTTCAACAGCTAACCTGAGTGCTACTACAAACCAAGACATAAGAAATGATCATGAGCTTACATATGAGATACTCTCTTTCCCAAAATATGGAAGAATATATGTAAATAATCTGTTGATGGATTCCTTTACTCAGCGTGATCTGATAAAGGGGCATGTAACCTACAGGCATGATGACAGCAACAACCTTATTGACAAATTCAACTTTACAGTCTGTGCTAGAGATGTCCATCTAAATGCTGAAGTGCAGGTTTGCATATATTTGGAAAGTCAGCAGCAGCTACCAAGGGTTGCAAACAAAAACAATCTCTTGGTTGAAGAAGGAAAACTAGTTGAAATCAGTAAAGGCAAACTGCAAGTAAGTTAACTGTGCTATCCGTTCTTCCAATCTTGTTGCAAGTTTTCCTCACTGTTTTTTTCAGCCATTGCAGTGTCTTTAGTTTGTGACTTCATTTCTTTGACTCCTTTTGGTTACCACTAATATGACTGCATTCTGGATGCTTAATTGTGTAAATACTGACACTAGCAAGATTCCATTTATAGGAAGGAAAACTGATTATGTTAAAGAAAAAAGGCTGCCCATAGTCTTTGCATTTATATGCTGGTTATATGCTGGTGCTTGAAAAAATTAGAATTTGGGGATGCTGCATGTATATATTTGTTTCACTTCTAACAATTGTTGGTACTTCATGTACTGTTCTTAGTTGAGCTGGTGGGAACTGCCAAGGAAGAAACGGTTTTGGTTCATTCAGTTTGGAGCTAGCACAGTTAAAACTGTTCGAGGACCACATCCAAAATTTTAAAAACATCAGATCACAAACCGGAGGCCGTTTCTGCTTAGTTAATTCTTTCCTGCCCGTTGTTTGTGGGTAGCCTTCCAATAACCACCACGAGGGGGCTCTGACAGCACGTTGCTGTGCTGCTCAAATCCTTGTTTCAGGCAGGATCTATAGCTCTGAGGCCATTACTTAATTCTTCAGTGTATTCCTTTTCAAAATTACAAAACATACTTGTGGTTACAGAAGGCTCCTAGGTCACATATATTTAGTACGTGTCTGCTCAAAGTATTGTATTGTTTTGGGAGCCGTGCAACTCAATTAAGGAATGCCATTTTAGTTGGGTAGACAGTCCCAGGGTTAAAAGTGAAAAATTCAGAAGAGAATTATAGTATTTCTCCTGTTTCCATTTGAATAATTTTGGGATATTTCCCTAAATTTAAGGTTGTTCATGAAAACAGTTCTCCATCTGAGATTGTGTTCACAGTAAGAAAGCTTCCAGTACATGGATACATTCAGAAGTTTTCCTTGGAAGAAAGTTATCTCAGTTTTGACCAAAGGCCAGTTTTGAGCTTCACACAGCAAGATGTCGACGAGGGCAAAGTCCAGTATGTGCAGACAGTTTCTAACCAACTAGAGGACCGTTTTTTTCTGGATGTGACCAACGGTGTCCAAACAGTGAGTGGAATAGAGATCTCTGTAGACATCATCCCCAGAATCATTCCACTGGAAGTTCAGAACTTCACAGTAATTGAAGGGGGCTCGAAAGCCCTGGTGGAAGACTATCTAAAAATTTCTAGTAGACATTTTGTAGGACTCAGCTGTGAATTCATTTTAACTGAGCAACCAAAACATGGGTATGTTGAAAACTCTCATGTTCCTGGAATAAAGTTAACCACATTTACCAGAAAACAGGTAACACATTTAGATTCGCTTTACTGTAATCATGATGGATTCTTTGTATTGCTGAAAGCTGTGGGGTTTTGTGGGAGGCGGTGAGATGCATGAGTTTGAGCTTTATTCTGGCCTTGAGCCCAGCATCTTTATGCAGTTTCTAGCTGGTCATTTGGAGTGGGGAGGGAGAGTACCTTGTATTGAACCACATCACTTCCTCGTGTGCTTCTGTGATAAGCGCAGTGGATTGATGGGCCACTCATTCTCAGGCAGCATTGTAGATACTCTGGAAATGTAGGATGACATAAGGCTGTGGGTACATTTTGAAAAGACTGGAAGATATGGTGTGTAAATTGAACAAGGAAGAAAGTGGAAAACAAGTAATTTTTTTAGGTCATGTCTTTGCTCCAAGGCAGCGAGTATATGCATGATATACTGATTTTCAGTCTTTTAGCTCCAAGAAACAAAATAGTATCATAAGTCACCATTTACTAACATAAGCATAAATAAAGTCTTAGAAATCATAAAATGTTCGTGCAATAAATACAGAGGAGCATGATTAGACTTGAGTATTTTTCAATGTGAGATATATTTTCTTCTAGCCTCCTTAGTTTTTCAGCTTGTTGTATTTTTCAGGTGGAACAAGAATTAATCTACTATGTTCATGATGACAGTGAAGAACTGATGGACAGTTTTACTGTGATAGTAAATAACATGGAGTTGTGGAAACAAAGTTTGCCCCAAACTGTATTTGTAACTTACTGCAGTAAATGATGAAGCTCCTGTTATAAAAGTTAACAAAATTCTTCAGGTATGTTAGTCAATATTTTGAAGTCTTAAAATTATTTCTATTATTTTTGATGCCATTTGATGCACCTTCATTAACAGAGTATTAGATTTGTCTCTGGTGGGATAGTCAATATAATAAATAGCAGTCCTGGGATTTAGAGAAATTAATGCTAATGAAAGGAGGCAGTACAGGCAGTACATGGCTAATTTGTGTTAGGAAGATTCTAGTCATCATGGAGAACATTTTCTGCTGTTCTAATATAAAGTTTATCTAGAAGGCTGACTGAGCGTTCTTTTAATCTTAAAGTTCCATGAAGTGTTTTGGACTGACCTAGGGCTTGTAGGAGTGAATGGCTGACACCTGGATCACTGTTATGTTTTAGTGTTGTTTGCTAGGGTATCTTGAGGGCTGTTAATGAACATGTAACTTAGAAAAGTGCCAAGAGTAGTGATGATGAGAATGCCTTCCTACCCTGTGCCTATTGGGTATTTCTTGTACAAAACATGAATGTTCTCTTCTTTAAAAGTTGCAAATAATACAATGCAGTCTATGCAAATCTGGGGTGTTACAGGTCATCAAAATATTGGTGCAGGCACTGAAGGTATTCCTGTGTGATACTGTAAGCTAAAAACCCAACATGTTAACTTGTTTCTAACTCGGCCTCCCCCCCAAAAAAAATCCTGAAGAAAATGTTAAAATTGTTTACTAATGCTACATTTTGCTCTTAATAGCTGAGTTTTTAATCTATTGATATTTGAAAAAAAATCTACAACAACTATTACTTCAATTTCAGTCCATTTTCAGATTAATTAATTAATTAATTAAGCTATATCATTGTTATTTTTTTGCGTTATGGTGGCACTCAGTAACCAGAAACAATTTATTACAGGCACTGTGCCCATGAAGCCCCCATTTCCAATCTGAAATCTGATGAGTAAAAACAAATTAAGTGACTCAGAAAAGCAGAATGAAAGGAATGTGGATCACCTAATGAACCAGTGGTCACAGTAAACCCACCTGAGAGATAGCAAGAGAAAGAAAATACTTAGGAATAGGTTTGAAAGAAGCTAAAACAGGGTATTTTGAGATGATCATAACGCTGTTATGTATTTAGCCTTTTCACATGAGAAAAGATTTTTAATCAGCAGTAGTGGTATTGCACAACTTTGCAATGACAGCAGGTAGTCTGTTATAATCTGACCACAGTGAAGACACCCTGCCTTGTGCAGACACTGCTGGGCAGAGGGGCAGACTCCCTTTACAAGCATTTGAGTAATACAGAGCAAAAACTTTCCTGGTTGAAGTAATTACATGTACTGTGCAGACATCAGCACAGCATGCAGTAATGTTTAGTCACAGGGAAAAAGGCAATATGTCCAGTCAGACTTTTCAGTCTCCATTCTGGTGCATTACTGGCATTGAACTTCAGCCTTAATAAAACGAAGGCTATGCAGTGCATGGCAATGCAGCTTATGGATTTTTCTGAAAATATCTGTAAGTGTAAGCTTCCCAAGAACAATGATAACTGGGGAGGCTGTTTGCTTACCCAGAACAAGGATGCTGCCTTTGTACCTGTGATTATGCTAGTCAAGCACATGCTGTTGAGAAATAATCTTTGGTTTTAACCAATATGCACACATATGGTGGATTCGTATGCAGTCTAAAACAAAGCTGTCAGTCAGGTTATATACTGGGAGGAATACCCTGAGATGATTCTTCCTCAAATCAAACTTGCACATCCCAAATAAGTGGGAGAAAATGGTTGAGATGAGATAGGCATTCCTGTGTAGGGTGATAGTTGCTGACCCCAAGTTCTAGCCAAGCAGTTTGTGCTCCTCAAGGGCATTGCTAGTGGTGGCTGCTGAGTAATAGACTGTTGCTTTTAAAAATGCGGTAGCTCTTTCATATATTTTGTGGGGTTGGGAATGTATAAAATGAGGAACCAGTACTGTGAAAACTAAAGTCCAGATGAACCGTTTGAGTTGACTGAAGTTCAGCCCCTCAGAAATTTTGCAGGTTACAGTATAAAGAGTTAGAAAGCAGTGCTATTGTTGGCATCTGTTAAGAAATAGCTTCTGTGAAGAGCTGCATTATATAGCAGCCATGATGTTGGTGTGGATATATGGAAGTTAATTTTGGCCTTTGTCATGGGCTTCTGGCCAAATGCCAGAAACTGTTGGTCATGTGCACATATGCTGAACGAGTCCAACTCTAGCTCCCCCACTTCAGAGGCATCTATAACATCCTTTCTTCAAACAACCTTGTCTGTTGTTACCAAGGTTGTGAATACCATGAAGGTTATGAACACTATGGAGTTTGTGTGACAGACAACCAAACATTTTGGGAATTGTTTCTGTTTTTTCTCTAGGAAGTGAAAGCAAGTGAAGGTTTTGAGTGGGGTTTAGTGGCTTTCTTTTGTTTATTTGTTTTGATTTGTTTGTTTGCTTTTCCTTGACTAAGAATTTATGACATAATGTATGAGATACAGAAAGTTTCATAGTCCTGAGAGCTTCTGTAACGTATGGTGGTAATCCTTGCATTTCTTTTAAAGCCTTTCCATTGGAACAAATTCATGAGGGGTATGTTTACTTAGAAACTTATATTATCAGCATTTTAGGTATAATTTCCTAAAGTTTCCACACTTTCTATGGACATTTTTTTTCTGTGTTGGGAATGGGTAAGGGAAATAGGATGTTTTAAAGAAAATTACCATCCTGGCATTACTTGCTGCATTTATGTATGTGTTTAAAGATATTTGTAGGTAGCAATACTATGAAATGACTGTATCCTCCTGTGGTAGTTTGGTCTAGGCCTTCCTTGGTGACCAGTTTGTAGCCAAGGAAGTGCCCAGATTTACCCAGTATTCCCTATGATTTTTACATAAGCTGGGCTATAAGAAGAAAGGAGGAGAGGCCTTCGGTCTCTTTCCTTCCGGCGACTTGGAGGTGCAGGTTCCCTGCTGTTGGGTCTGTCTGTGAGGCCTGGTTAGGCCTTGCCGACCTTGGGAGATGGAGGTTGCCGGCGATCGTTCCAGGGCGACTTTCTGTTGTCCCAAGGAGAGTAGTGAGATAGTTTTTTAGCCAGTTCTTTTAGTTGCTAGATCTCGAGCTACTGATTGGGATGTATATATATATTTTGTTCTGGTTTTGTTCCTTTTCCCTTCCCCCTTCCCTTTCCCTTGTGAAATTGTACATATGTTTCAATTGTATATAACTGTAATATAAGTGTAAATATATTTATATATATTGTTTTAGCTGTCTCTCTCTTGTTTCGGTTTTCTTGGTTGTTTTTTTCTCACTATTCTCCCTGAAGTTTGGGGGGGGGACGGGGACTTCTTGTGGTAAGGTTTGGAGACTAGGCAGGGAGCCAGCTTCAAACCATATCACTCCCTTTTGCCACAAGAGGGCTATATTTTCCTACAATTAGGTTTAAAAAAACCCTAATTTGTTGTTTTCTCTAAGTCACTCTCTAAAGTGTTAAAATGGCTATAAATATAGAGTTTCTGGTAAGATATGTGGCATGCAAGGAGATACTGATGAGCCAAATGCTGTAAGTAGAGCAGAATAAATTATTTCCCATTGGCAAGGTCATGAACCTTTTTTGGACCATGGCTGTGGGATGTGTTAGGCACATGCAAAACTAGTGTAGTGCTACATCCTGGAAGTTCAGATACAGTTCTTATGGTGTTCTTCAAGGACATCTTGATCCCAGATATGGAAAATAAGATTCTTGTACATTTCTTGGTGTACTGTCAGTGTTTGCTTCCCTGCTGCTCTTTTCAGCTGTTAGATCTCCTTTCATTCCTCAAGGATCATGTTGCAGGTCATGTTTACTACTTAAAAAGCATTGTGTGTTAATGTGCTAGAAAAATGGAATTAAATACTGGCATTATAGAAAAAACACTTTTTTCTATAATTAGAAATTACAGTTCTTTTTTCCTTTAGTAAGGAAAAAATTTGAAACTTAATAAGTAATTTGTAGTAACATCCATAGTAATTTCTTATATTTTTGCATATTCTATGTCACCTTTTATTTTCTGTGTAGAATAATCTATGTCTATCTCGTATTGGCCTCATAAGCCACCAGCGTGCCTGTAACAAATGAGGATAGAGCCTTCCTAAATCTTCGTTTGCGAAGCCCAGCCATGATGATGAATCTACATGAGTGCTAGTGAGATGAGGGTCTCGATACAAAACCTGTGACACTGATATGCATATTTGATGCCACTCACTAAGTCACCCTTTAGGATTAGTTATCATCCTGTGTATTCATAGGTGTCATTCCTTATCAAAATTTGGTATTAGTAATTACATTGCAGAGAAATATATATTTCAAGGGAGAAAATAGCTATTTGCTGGTTGCAAGATATTTTCTGTTATAAACTTATTGTTCAAACTTTTTTCCTACTTATAAAAAAAACATTTAATTTCATTTTAGTGTCTCTTTATCCATGGCACATATTCTGTGACACAATGTAGACTGAAATCTTTCCTCTATTGAAGTATAGTGGCAAAAACCCCAGTGCCTTTAAAGGGTTTTCTTCCATGGTTTTTATTAAAAAGTAAAATTAATACTTAGGGAAAAATCTGTGATTGCTGATTTTGGTTTTGGCAGAGGTAGAATGACCTTTGTCAAAGGTCATTCTTCAGGCATTTGGTGCGATGTTACTACCAGATATTTATTAAGTGTACTAAGACCTTAGGAAGACAGGAAGGGATGATGCAGTGTGTATTTTGAAGCTCAAGCTGAGATATTTAAAGGCTTAGGCTTTTAAGATTGTATCTCTGATATAAATTCTGCATGGAAATAATTGATATTGACATATTGAATATTTAAGAATTTAATTTCATATTGAGATAAATATGTATTTTTCTTCGTTAGCACTTTTGTCTGTAATGCCAAATAAATACAGGAGAGATGAAGAATAAAATGAGCTGTTGCTTATTCTTTCCAAACAAGGAATTAACCAGTAAGATACAGATAGATGAAACTCAGAAAGCAGTCCTTTCTGCAGTTTCTCCATGTCTTCAGCTAAAAAACGAAGAAGCAATTCATACAATCCTCATTGCATCACAGAATGTTAAGGGACCTTAAAGACCTTCTAGTCTCAACCTCCCCTGTCATGGGCAGGGACACCCCCCAGTAGCCCAGGTTGCTCAAGGCTTTATCCAACCTGGCCTTGAACACTTCCAGAGATGGGACATCCACAACTTCCCCAGGCAACCTGTTCCAGTATCCCCCCACCCTGACAAGTAAAGAATTTCTTCCTAATATTTAACCTAAATTTCCCCTCTTTCAGTTTGTATCCATTAGTCCTTGTCCTGTCACTACAGTTCCTGTCGAAGAGTCCCTCTCCGGCTTCCTTTTAGGCCCTCTTCAGATACTGGAAGGTGCTATGAGGTCTCCACACAACCTTCTCTTCTCCAGGCTGAACAGCTCCAACTTCCTCAGCTGTCTTCGCAGGGGAGGTGCCCCAGTCCCCTTATCAACTTTGTGGCCCTCCTCTGAACTTGCACCAACAGATTATTTATTAGAATGAGGTAATGGTATTTATACCATCTTTCTAAAATAGCTATTTAGCTATTTTGTCTGGAATCATGACCTTACTAGGTGCTAAGCAGCTATTGGAGGTGTTGGTTCTTTCATCTCCCACTGAACTGAGCAGCTCTGTGGGTTGTTTGGTGCACTATAAAAGGGTCTTTAGTGCATGTTGTTAGGAGGAAATAATGCACCTACAACAAATGTTCCATTTGTATTAAAGTTTTTGCTGTCCCCAGGCTGTTTTTCTTATATCTTTTATGCTGGTGAAAGTAGAGCATATTGAATGCCTTGCCTGCTGTGAAGTACATGACACTAATATTCATGTGTGTGTGTTGGAAAGTAGCTCCTTGACTCAGCTATCATAATACAATTTTTGTTATGTTTGTTAGGGTTTGCATGGTGCCTGACAAATAGAGCACTTCTGCTGCAGCTCACTGAAACTCAGACTGGTGCAGGATGTATGTGCTTGTACTGTTCCAAGGTCTCGTATTTTGAAATCCATTTGCCAACATTAACTGTTCTGATCTGTGATCAGAGATTTGGATGGACAGTAAGGAAACTTGCCATAGCTACTAGTGTAGCAAATCTTTTTTCTAGTCATTCTTTTTCTTTGAGTTATGTATCATCCATCCCTGTCCCCTTCCCATCCCCCCTATTTTCTTTTGTATGCATTTTCTTTATTTATTTTTATTATTTTGTTTTCCTAGGTCTGGGTGGGTTCCATCATAGAAATAACTATTGATGATCTCTGTGCAGAAGACAAGGATTCCTCACCATCAGAATTGGTGTATTCCATTACTCCACCTAGCAATGGGCACTTGGCTCTGAAGTCTTCTCCAAACAAGAGCATCCTTAGTTTTACCCAGGCTCATATAACTGAAGGGCATCTGGTATTTGTACACAATGGTATGTGATTTCACAAATACCATGCCTGCTACCAAAATACTGTTCCTATTCACTATACTTGTGTTTTTAATCCGTTACAGATGCCATTGTAATGTCACAAAGATTTCAGAGACTATTTACATGATCTCACAAACTAAAAAGAGAAGGGTCCGATGCCTACTTAAATGTGTGCCTACTGGGAAACCTTTGTGTACTGGTGCTTTATTTAATAGCAGCCTTCTTTCTGAAAGCAGTTTTGCAGTAAGGAAATGTTACCGTGCAGCTTTCAGAGATATGAAATCCAGGGTTTTGACTATTGTGATTGAAAATCTCCTGAAGCCTTTCTGTCTCACTACAGTGCAGAACTATTCATGGACCAGCAGTCTCACAGACACCTGCCATGATGTGGTGGTGATGGATGATCAAGCTGTGATGTGATGTCAACATGCCTTTCAGGCTGTGAAGGAATTCAGCTTTAAACATAGACTCTTTGTGCCAGTGGCCAGAGCTAGAGATTGGGTTTATTGTGCATTTGAGAGAATGTGTGGGGAATAAAAGAAGTCAGGGCAGCTTCATGCATCCTTGAGTGGTAGTGCTGGGAAGCCACATCCCAACAGGGTTCCATGCAGAGGAAGAGGTGGGTATTTTATATGGTGCTTATTTCCTGCTCCAGCTCTATTACCGTGTTACCTCAGCTGAAAGAAGAAACTTGTTCTACAGAAGGAATAAACCATTTTTTTTAGGATGGAGATAGAAGAGGTACAGCGCTGTCTTGCCAGCCCCAAGGCAGGCTGGAATTCCAGTACTCCCTTGGCTGCAGCAGTTACTCCAGATCTGTGTTGTGTCTTCATGAGGTTGATGTGCTCTGACTTATGATGCACTGTCTGGCAGAGTGTGTATATGTTACTGAAGTTGCTTTACAAGCAGTTGCTGGTGAGCTATAAGAATCCTGCTCAAATAATTTGCCCAGGAAATTAAAGGTCAAGGGCATGACAAAAGTGAGCCAAGCTGTTTAAATTGTTCTGAGGGAGACTTTGACATATAAAAACCCTTATGGTGGTAGGACAGTGGAAGTCTCAGTGTGTGGAAATCAGTTCCCTTCTGTGTTCCTGAAAGAGCACATGCATATCTGTAGTCTTAGGGAGTGAATCTTGATTAATAAAAGTGAAAAGAACAGAAAATTTCGTTTTCAAGTGAGTGGGAGTGTGGCTTGTATAGTAATTTTATAACATAAAATTGCCCAGGTCATATGTCAGGTCTTGCAGCTGCTCTATCTCTTGCCATCTGCTCAGCCTCATGGCCTCCAGTGCTTCAGAAAGGACTCTGAATATTTTACTTCTTTTCCTTTCTCTGTCAGTGATTTTCTTTGCTCTCTCATCTTGAACTGTTGCTAGAAATTTATTTGTTACTCTCATTTTCTTGCTCCCAGCCTTGTCCTGTGGCCTTTCCTTGTGTTCTGTTGTCATTCAGATTGTTTGTTCTGAAGTTGTAATGTCTTTTCAGTGCAACTTTTACAACCCTATTTTTGGTGTCATTTTTATTGCTTCTGATCAGGTGTGTCTTTGAAAATTAATTGATAAAGTAATTGATAAAGTAATAAATGCTCCACCCAAGCAGAAGTTCGAGATGTAGTTATGTTCCTGACTGCCAATGATAAAACATCTGGGTCAATCAGGCAGTTGACCTGCATTAGCCAAAAAAGCAAATGAGGCTATGTAAGCCGGTTATTTTTTTTTTCTAACCTAGTGCAAATACTAGACTCCTTGATGCCTTTTTAAATAAGCAGCTTCTTCATTTATATCAGGAGAAAACATCAGAGAATAAAAACTGTTAAAATAAAAACTATATGACATGATCTTCCAGAACTGCTTCATTGTCTGGCTGGATATAAGAGCCAGGGGTGTTGTTAACTTAGGGATGTTGTTAACTATAATCTCAGAACCCACATTTGATTCTTCTGATATGTTAATTTGTAGTTAGGCAAGGTGTTCTGATCTTCACATGCAAGCACCCTCTGGCTTTCAGGATCTATATTCTTTTAGCAGTATCTTGTGGCTAAACTGGGCAAAGCAAATAGAAGAGCATGGTAACTCTTTGCAACAGCTAATGTTTCAATCTCTCTACCTAACTGAACAGTCTGGGAAGCCTCTGCTTGAAGCAGTCAGTCAGTACTGAGAGATGTATTTTTACAGGAATCCACTCAGACTCCTGGAGGTATTTTGCTATTGCTCGTGCCAAAGTATGTAAAGATCCTAAGATTAAAGGCAAAAATGTGCATTTATTATGAGTGCACATAACCTCTGAAATATTTTAAGCTGTGACAACATACATACTTCAGCAAAGCTGAAGCGCAGCAAAGAGGAAAAGGAAAAAACCCGAGGGTTGATACAGACTTTTAAACATAAAACAAAAGGAAAGAACATTCTAGTTACTTTCCCCTCCAGTTCCTTCTTTGGCAAAAGGTGACTGCTTAAGTGCTTTGGACCGTCCTAAGCTATAAAAGAAGTTGGAAATCTAGAAGTCATTGTTTCCCCAAGTTTAACTTGGTTTCAGCTCCACTGGGTCATTAAAGAAAGAGACGAAGGGGGCCTGCTCTTCGTGATTTACATCTCAGGGATGTTGGCCTGCACTGTAAACAGCAGCCAGTAGTTCTTCCTTGGTGTTAACTGCATAATCAATTTATTTAATTCTAATTAAGATGCAAAGGTTCTGATCAAAAGTTGCTGTCAGGATGACTTTGGATATATATTGTTAAGGAAACTTTCCAGTCTACTCCATTCAGGAGTCACTCAGGCAGTCACAGTTATACCACAGGAGACCAAGGCCCTTTCACAGTGGACTGTTGCAGTGACCCAACAGGTACCCTGCTTGACTCCCTACACACACTGCTCACCCTACACACACCACTCACACAGTCAGATTAGGTTTCCTTACCAGTTCAATCCCAGGTTTCCCATAGCAGAGTCTCAGGCACCTGTTCCTTAATATAATTTAATCATGGTGCAATAACAGAATAACAGCTCAAGCTGGGAGTCTCTGAGGTGGGACCCTGAACAAAGACCCCTGGGCTTTTATACCCTCACAGTCTAAGCACAAAGGAAGTCTGGGGTTCTTGAATCCTCTTGTTTCTCTGTGTCCAGCTGGGCCACAGGTCCATGTGCCCTTTGTTGTGCAAAGGGTGGGCAGTTCATGGCCTCTTGCCTGGGGCCCTCTTGCCTGGGAATCCTGCCATCCAGAGCTCAATCTGTAGCTGGCACTGCAGCTGCACACTGAGCTACCTGCACCAAATATATTCCTGAATAATATTTCACTGCAGCCAAGAGCAAAAGGTGTCCAAAAGTATGCTTGTGTTTTGTGTGACAGAGTAATACAAGAATAAATTTATGATTTTCTTTTCTACAGGAGCAATGTCTGGAGGTTTCAACTTTCGGGTGACAGATGGTTTGAACTTTGCACCTCAACAGATTTTTAGCATCACAGCACATACACTGGTCATTAGCCTTGAAGAGAACAAAGGACTCGGAGTCTTTCCAGGTCTGTTTTTCAAGATTATGATGATTTTATCCAGTTGAAAATATTGCATAATATAGAGTTATTTGTCAGATACCTAACTGACTAAACTATGGAAAACTGTACCTGAGAACATCTATCTGTATGATTTTGAAAAGAAGGGTTATGTTTTCTCAAACAACATACTACTTTTTTGCTTTGTAGTCTAACTTTTTGATATGCTTGGAGTCAATAGAAAATGACAGTGAAATATACAAGCACAGTGTGACAATAGTACTGTCTTCCTAAGCTCTGAATAATCCCCATTCAGATTTGTTAAAAGGCTCTCTATTATATTCAGACATTTAGAAGTGTCCTAGATGGTTGTGATATTGATTGGTAAAAGCAGAATGGAGCTTGTGTCTGTCAGATTCTGAATAGCACATGTAAACTCTGCAGATTGCTAATTCACTTTTTTATTGTTTAAGATGAGTTATGGAGAGACTCACTGATGAATCAGGACTGAAAACTTTGGTTCATATTGGTGCATTTGTAACTAGTTGTATCAGCAGCTAAGTATTTTTTAAATGAAGTCGTACTACTGCAGGAATTGATGTAAGAGGGTCTCACCAGAACCATTTGCTCCTTGACACTGGCAAGAGTAGTCCCTGCCTGAGGTAGTAATCTAACATTAATTGCAGGATTAAAGGAGTAATAGGTTAGTTTTCTCTGAGCAATGTCTTGCATCACACTTTTGTCTATGCTGCCTTTTTCTTTTCTCTGAATACAGTCTGTAGAGTCAGAGAGAGATGTCGAATTGGCAATGTTCTAGAGGTATTAATCTGTACCTTGATTTATTAATTGGATACAGAAGAGGAGCACTTTATCTTCTTAAACTTCCCAGTTATAAGCTTGCATAAACAAAGGTTTGCCATGAAAGCCACTTAAACACAGGCAACAAAAAATGAGATTGTAGCAGCGTGATCTTCTAATTCAGTCAATATAAATGGGATTCACATAAATCCACTTACAAAGCTTATTACCATGCAATATTGGTATGAAAGGTTGCCTTGGGCACAAGGATTTACAGAAGTTCTATCTTAAGACAATGATAATTGTAAGAGAAGCATGCAAGATACTTCCATAGAATGCAAAGTCTCTAGACTGTCAATCAGTTCTTCATTTTGCAAAATACAGTATTTCTTTCAGCACTGCACATTGTATTAATCTAAGATTACAGTTTTTCCTGAATTTTCACTTACTTTGGGTGAGCAAAATTCCTTTTAGGTGTTAAAAAGTTTTACTAGCTTTTTCACCTGTTCTCTTTATGATATTTTTAAAGGACATTCTGGAGCTGTGTGGGTTTCAGCTGTACTTGGCTGTCATGAAATGACTAATAAAACAGTGCTGGTGCCAAATGGTTAATATAAATTAAAACAACCAGTGTCCTGTTGTATTTTATAGCACTGCAGAATGAAAGTTAATTTCGAGGCAACTTGAGAATCCTTCTCTCTGGGGTGGTAAAAATTGAATTAATTGTGAGGAATTTACCATGTCTTCTTGATTGGGTGTAAACTATTCTCTCAAGTGTATTGTTCTGCAGTTTTATAAGAGCATGTACTGCTGTCTTTTGTTGTGTTGGGTATACCAGATTTGTTTACATAATTTATTGATTTTTTTCTGTTTAACAGGAGCTTGTTTTATCAGTGTGCCAGCAAATTGTCTGTGAGATACATGAGTTTTTTCACGTGTATCCTGGATATCTGCAATGTGGGGATTTGCTCTCTTCAGGGAAGCAATTGCTCAAAGAAGGAATGAGCTGAGTTTCTCTCTGAAAAGGAGGGGCAGCCTGACTTTTAGTTATTTGGAAACAGAGCTGTCTAATCAGTCCATAGATGAGATGATTCATAACTCTCTACCAGTGATAGGCAGAATGCTCATGCCAAAGCATTTTCCAAATCTTAAATGTAAAAATGTGTAACAAAATTATTATGTACCAACTTTATGCTGTTGCACTCTAGTTGTATGGATAAGTTTGGCTCTACTTGGCATCACCTGTCCTTATTGTGTGTCTTCCTCCTCTCTGTTCCTTTGGGTTGGGTTGTCTTTGTGACCTCTCTGCTTCTGTATTTGGGAACACACAGGCAGTGTTCTCACTTCACTTTCCTTCACCCAGTTTGTTGGGTGGGTGAAGACTAGAGGAGAACTACTGTGGGTGCTGGAGAAGGTTCTCAACTCTCAGGACAGGAGTGAGTAAAGGAGAACGTTATGTTTGGGGGAGGATCCTATTTTACAGGAGAACATGATAGATTTGGTGTCTGTGGCCCTAGGCTATATTTCAGCCTGTGCTGAGCAGTGAAGTGAGGTCAGGTCTATGAGGAAGGAAAAGGGTTTTGTGACAGACATGCTTGGCCCTGCACTGTGGTGGTGGTGGTGTGATAACCTGGTATGATTATGAAAAATTGAAGCACTAACTTTCATCTCTACAGAGTGACCATGTTTTAGAGTTACTCTGTCCTACTCTGTTAAGGCAATGAGGCCTGATTTACATAAGTAGCAGGTTACTGATAAACAACTGCATTTTCAGATTTATGTGGTCTGATTAACTGCAGCTCTAAGTTGTAAATTTCTGACCACATCTACTGTATTCACAAGGTCATGCTTCCCTCCCTGACTGTCATACAGAAAAGGGAAAAGAAGAGAGAGAAAGAGAAGGAAGCTTTCTTGAATTAGATACAGTGTGGGAGAATTTTTCTACACCTGAGGGACAGTTTCACTTTTCAAAACAGTATGAACACAGAGAGATATGGGAAGGTAAAAATGGGAAAACATACAGAGCCAGAAGATCTTATTTTGTTATAACAACTCTCCTTCAAAGTAGTTGTGATTTGAACCATGGCACAGCTGCAGGTAAACCTGATGTTACTAATGGCTTGCAAAGCATTCCCTTTCCTCTGAATATTGTAGCATATATATGTTATTTTGTGTTATTCCTGTATAAACATTATGGTTTATTGAAGGTGGATTGATAATTCAGACTTCAAGGATGTATACTGCTAGTATCTGAAATTATGTATTGAAATCTACAAAAGCTTGTTGCTTAAGAAAAAAGAAAATGTGAAAGAAGTGGGGATATAGGGAGAATAGGGTTATCAGAATCTATTGCTCCTCCAAAATTATCACTGAATGTGACTTTTAGTGCGCTGACTGTATACCTTGAAAGTGCTTCAAAAAAAGCCAAATAAAACTTATTTTTTTCTTTTAGGAAATTACTAAGTGTGGTTTCGTCACACCTATCTCAAAAATTGTCTTGGTTTGACTAAATGCCAGAAAGCTCCTAATAATCTTTTTCATTTTTAAGCCAGAATTTAGTAACTTTAGTTAGGTTAGTGCGGTGTTACGTATCAAAAGGATTTTTTTACCTCTTAATAAATAATGCATTATTTCAGTTCAGGCTGTCATTTCTGTTATATGATGTTCTTCCTAATTTGTTTAATTCAGTATTGATGTTTTAATTTCATTTAATGAAAATAATATTTCATATTGATAAAGAGTGCTTCATGTTTCCATTAATAATTGTCTTTTGTTTATGTGTTTGCTGAAAACTTTACTGTGTTGAGGCTTCTCCCTGCCAAATCATCCTGTCTTCTGTAGCAACTGGGAATACCCAAAACACTGGAGTCTGAATTCAGTTCTAGACATGTCATGTAGGAACAGAGCTTCTTATACATGCTCTGTTCCTTACTTTGGGTTGTTTTTGCAGAAGCTAATGTTTAGCGATTACATGTGCTGAAGAGTACTGCATTTTTTACATTTGTAAGACAGAGATACATCCTACTAATGGCCTTTTTGATTGAAAAAAGAGTTGCAACTAGAAGGTAACTAGAAAAAGAGTAAGCCTGCTGATCTTATAAAACATTATTAAAAGGCTAAGTAGAATGCCTGGGTGAGAGTGTGAGTTGTGCATACAAAACTTAACCTTTTGTAAAATTGCTCTTGTAAATATGTGTTTCCTATAATTGACACTCTTTTAGGTTCCAGGAAACCTATTTCACAACATGATCTTAAAGCTGTAACCAATGATGTGATCAGTGCAGGAAACAGAAGTATAACTTTTATGATTGTAACTTTCCCAAAGCTTGGAAGGCTGATCAGAGTAAATTCTGATGATACCACTCAGGAAATTCTCAGTTTTACGCAGTCTATGGTAAGCATTTACTCTGTAATAACTAATTAAGGGGTATATTGTTACTTCAAACGGCATCTCAGTTGCTTATTCTTTGTCTGATTCCATTTATATCTGTTAAGTAATCAGGCATATGTGATCCATCAGTGCAACCATCCAGATTTGCTATGTCACCAAATATCTGGCATCTGGTAATGAATGCAAGGGCAGCCTTTGTTCCTCTCTGCTTGGATACTAGCAGGGTCTTGGCAATTCCCACTGTTTTGCTTGTAATAGTATTTGTCAAGAAAAGCTGTTCTGGTGCCATTAACCAGCAGGCAGAGGTTGGAAGCCTTTAGTTTCTGGCAGAAGAGGCAACCTTTTGCTCTATGAAAAGTCTGTACTCTGAAAGTATCATATTCATTTTATCTGTACACAGTTATGTGCGTCCCCAAGAGGACTTTTATTGACGTGATTGGCTGTGACACTAAGTGTTTAAAGTATCTTACCTGTAATATAGATTCTCATACTGAATGAAACATGGCAGCTTATGTAACTTGATAGAAATGTTCTTCTGCAACAGAAATTACTTATGTCTGTGTGCAGAATCTGAATATGACCATGTCCTCTGCATTAAGTTATTCTCAGAAAATCAAAGTGAGGGAGACAAAAGGGGGTCAATCTTCTGACTTTGCTCGTGGAAAAACCTATATTTACGGAATTTAAAACTGGCTGTTTGATTCAATGTATGAAGAAATGAGAAAATGAGAAATTGAAACTTGATAGGTAAAACCTGGAAAAAAGGTTGACATTTTTATTAGTTATCATCAAACTTTCAAACCTGACCGAGGACTGTGATGGAATGAATCTCCACTTGGACTTTATAAAGCAAAATGAACACAGAATGGTTCTCATAAAACCACGTACTAATCCCATGATGTTACTGGTCTTGTTACAATAGATGCTGAGTTTTGTCTTAAGTTATTAAAGAGATGAACTATATGATGATGCTGCTCCCTTCTGATCCCAAAATGTATGATTTTTTATGAGCATTAAATGAAAAAGTTAAGCATGTTAGACAGAAAATCTTTCAGTTAAGGTTTTGGAGTTTCACTCTTTTTGCCTATGGATATGATCTTTATGTATGTTTATTAGACAGTGCCATGTCAGAACATGCCAGTTATTTCTCTGTAGCTTTAGTTTTTACTAATGTATAGCTAAATTTCCTTTGAACTCTGTAAATTGTGTAAGGATTTGAGCTATAATAATATGTATGCTTTTCTTGTCTCTTGGAGATATTTCTATTGGCCATTTTAATTTCAAACAAGTAGAGCTAAGTGACTGCTTACAGGTAGAATTAAGGTATCCAAACCTATTGCTTGCTATTGATGCTGGTAGAGAATGAGGTATGAGGGAGAGAAAAGGTATCTAAATAAATTTTCAGTCTAGTGTGTTGTAGCACATGGAGTTAAAATATCAGTTAAAAAATTACATTGATGTTACAAACATTGTACATTCTCCATGTAATGGAGATTAAGACATTCAGTTTCTGTTTAGTAATAAGAAGCTTGTAAATCTGATTGGAACTGAAAATATTTTGCATTAGATTAGTACTTTGGGTTTTCATACTCTTCATTCTGTGTTGAGGAACTTCAGATTTCACTTCATAAAAGTACTATGTTTTGCTGTGGTGCTGAACTCTTCCTGTGCCCTGTGGTTTATTGCTTTGTTACCAGAGAGAGAAAAAAAAAGGACTGAAATCACTATTGCATTTCAAGGCATTTTTTCTTGAACAGTTGTTGTTTGGGAATATAAGAAAATTGTTTACGCATTAAACACTCTTGAATAACACAAAGTTTTTCAACATGATATTTGCTTTTTTTTTTCTCTCCCAACTTGAAGTCCTAGAGGTTTTGGAAAGTTACCCTGAATCAATGTATCCTTTTGATATAATTTTTTTTCCTATAATAGCCATTAAAAATAAAATTAGTATAGGGAAGGCGCAAACCTGAAGATGTGCATATAGGATTTTATCACATCAGTCTGACTTTTTTAGAGAAAAAGCAGGATGGTTTCGAGGCTGCTGAGAAACCCGACCTTGAAAGCTCAGTTTCCCTAGTGATCTCAAAGGGGGCTGTTGCAATAATTTCAGTATTAGAACTCTGTATTCACACCTCAGACTCTAAACTGCTAAAATGCGTCTGTGATAGCAGCAGGGAGCTTTTTGTTTTCTTTTTTCACATCTTTCAAGCCTATGTGATAGAAACGTGTGCTCATGAGTCCCGTCAGACTGTTTGCGGGCTGTGAGGAGTGTGTTACAATAGTAAACTCAGAACCAGCGCCATCTCAGACAGGGATCTCTGTGGCAATTACAAACTAACACATGCAGGCCAGGTTAGCAGTTGCCTGGAATTTGCCAAGGATTTAATAGGTATGACTGTCTTCTCTCCAGGCTAGTGAATAAATTAGCAAGCAGACCAGATGCTGAATCTACTAGAGTGTTCTAATCTTGCTGTTATTAGGAATTCTGTTGCAGTTACAGTGTATTATGGTATTGATCTTAAAATTCATGTATAGTTCCTGTTGATGAGAAATAGTCTGAAAATACTACCTTTCGCTTTGGGTTTTAGAGAGATAAATGTTTTTATGTTGTGTGTGCGTTTGTTTTTCTGAAGATTTACTTCTGTGTCTTGATTACTCACAGTGGACTGATAGGATTCTCTTGAGTATGATGATCTACAAGGTCAGTGCAGGCACATGTAGGACAAAACAGGTTTCTTCCTGTTTCTTAGGAATCCCCTTCTTGCTGTGATGTATAAATTTCCCACTAAGTAATTTCATCAGCTCTTTGCTTATACTTGAGATTATATTTCAATTGTCGTTACACTCCCTTCTGGTTTTCTTAGTCTCTTACCAAGTATCTTTGGCTGTTCCCGGGAAATACCTGCATCAAAGTCCTTTTCAGTCCTTCATTCTTTCATATGCTTTTTCAGGACAATGAGTCCAGACTTGCTAGTGTCCTTGTAAAGAAAAACCTTAGACATATGACACTCTGATTCACTAAAGATACAGTCCAGCTGAGCTTATGATCACCGTTACCATTGCTAGTTTGAAATAGGTTTCTCAGTGTTATATATCTCTGCTCTTCACATAAGGCTCTTACTAAGCATTCATGCCCAGTAACATTTTGCCTACTTTCAGGTAAGCTTATCTGGCAACACAGAGTCCATTTTAAGAAAAAGAGAAGTGCAAGATAATCTCAGTGTAAGTTATGTACAGGCTGGATCAGTGGGATAAGGCCAATGGTATGAGGTTCAGCGAGGCCAAGTGCCAAGTCGAGACCCTGGGTCACAAGAACCTCAGGCAGCACAACCTCAGGTTGGGGCAGAGTGGCTGCCCTGTGGAAAAGGACCTGGGGATGCTGGTCAACAGCAGCTGAACATGAGCCAGCAGTGTGCCCAGGTGGCCAAGAAGGCCAGTGGCATCCTGGCTTGGATCAGCAATAGTGTGGCCAGCAGGACCAGAGCAGTGACAGTCCCCCTGTACTGGGCACTGGTAAGGCCACACCTCAAATCCTGTGTCCAGTTCTGAGCCAGTCACTACAAGAAAGACATTGAGGTGCTGGAACGTGTCCAGAGAAGGGCAACAGAGCTGGGGAAGAGTCTGGACCACAAGTCCTACTAGGAGTGCCTGAGGGAACTGAGGGTGTTTATCTGGAGAAAAGGAGGCTCAGGGGGCACCTGAAAAGGAGGGTCAGGGGGAATCTTATTGCTCTCTACAACTACCTGAAAGGCGGTTGTAGTCAGGTGAGGATCGGCTTCTTTGCCTAAGTAACAAGCTATAGGATGAGAGGAAATGCCCTGAGGTTGTGCCAGGGCACATTTAGCTGGAATATTAGGAAATATTTCTTCATGTGAAGGGTGATCTAACATTGAACCAGGCCAGGGAAGTGATTGAATCATCAACCTGGAGATTTTAAAAGATGTGTAGGTCTGGCACTTGGGGACGTGGTTTAGTAGTGGACTTGTCAGTGCTGGGTTAACGGTTGGACTTGATCTTAGAGGTCTTTTCCAACCTAAACAATTCTGGAAGTTCCATATATGCTGTGCATGGACTAAGGTGCAAAGACCTCTTTGAACAATGTTCTCAAGATATTTTTTTTCTGTCCTTAACAGTCCTCTGGTTAAAGTCATTTTCCTCTTACACCTGTGACTTTCCTTTATCCAAACCAGGTTGATGAAGGTGTGATCATGTACGAACACTTACATGCTGAGTTAGCTGGCTGGAGTGCAGAAGATTTCTTTACATTTACTGTCTCCTCTCCACCATCAGCTCTGGACCTCCAGGTGTTCCATATTGTCATTTCATATGAAATTACCAGAGATGATCGGAATAGTCGTCTTCTAGCAAATACAGGTAAAAATGCTGTACTGTTTGGGCTCCAAATTGTTTTGGGTCTGTCAGGGTTCCATTGAAGAACTGAGGAAAAACAAAGGCTCCTTTCTCTTCAGTAAGCAATAAACAGAATACTTCTGACACAGTGTAATGTAGATAGTAGCTTGGAAAGCCACATCACTACATCTTTAGAAATGAGATTAACTACCTATGTTTGATGATTCCTACTGCTGTAGAGAATATTCTCTATTTTCTATAATTGTAGGTGAAAACACTCAAGTTTCGACACACTGATATTTCTTTAATTTTAGTATATGCATCAGTAGAAAATCTGGTCTCTTATGTGTGACTGTATTTTAAAAGTAGTGGTAATACATTTTGAGTTATGACATATAGAAATCAAGGATACTATGAAGGAGAAAATTTTCTGAGCATCATCAGTGTTTGATATCTGATTTCTGAAGTATTGCAACTGTAAAATTGCCAATTACTAAGATTCTCTTTTCCTTTCTGCCAGGTGCCACAGTCCAGGAAGGAGGCAGAGTATTGATCAATAAAACAAATTTAGATGCTTCAAATCTGTTGATTAAACTACCTGACATACAGCGCTCCATGTATGAAGTCTGGTATCAGGTTGTTTCTTTCCCCCAACATGGCATGATTGTTGTTGGAGAAAGAAACGTTACCAAAGTAAAACCTAATTTCTCCCAATACGTACTGAACAAATTTGGAATTGTGTATGTACATGATAATTCTGAATGGCTTAATGACAGTTTTGCTTTTGCTGTTTGGTTAAACCTAAAGAGCGAGTCTGCAACAAAGCCCCTTAGTGAAGTTTTAGAGGAGATGTTTAATATCACTGTTTTTCCAGTGAATGACCGGTCTCCAGAACTCAAGACTACAAGGCTGCACTTGAAAGTCCTGCAAGGAGATACGTTAGTGCTGGGGTCAGAGAACCTGAAAGTTGAAGACTTAGATAATGCCCCAGCTGAGCTCAAATATACCATTGTTAGCAACCACAATAATGGTTATTTAGTAATGAAAAGCAATCTCAGTATCTCTATAAAAGATTTCACACAAGCTGATGTTGACAGTGGTAACATTTGGTATGTACAGGATGGAAGTTCGTCTTCTGGGGTGTTTTGTTTCAGTGTGACTGACGGTAAACATCGCCCTTTATACAAACTGTTCAGTCTTGAAGTCATACCAATTGTTCTTGTCCTAGTCAGACTTACCAATGTTGTACTTCCACAGGGCCAGACATCTGTCACTATTACTAATGTTCAGCTTTCAGCTGTCACAAATAGAAAAAGCACTAACATTATGTATGAAATAACTCAGCCACTCAAATACAGGCACCTGATGATTGGAAATAAGCAGGTTACTAAATTTGAGCAGGCAGATCTGTACTCGGGAAGGCTCTCCTACCACCTGTCAAATCTCACTGCATCCGAAGAAGTACTGAAGTTCATGCTTTTCACTGCAGAAGGCAATCTAACAGGACAAGTGCTGAACATCACAGTGAAGCCTTTAGTACAAGTAGTACCTGATCTGCAGATTTCAAATGGAGTGGCTTATAAATTTGGAAGCAGTGACCTGGATGCATCTGAGCTAGCTAATTTGACAAATAGTAATCCTAGATTTGAAGTGATAGTGCCCCCCTCACATGGAAAGATTGTAAAGAAAAAGTTTGTGAGCGATGCAGTGTTTGAAGACATTCAGACATTCACCCAGGCTGACATCGACGGTGGTGTTCTGCTTCTAGACATAGATACAAATATGACGGGCATTGATCTGCTAAATGACTCATTTACATTTATACTCAGGGCAGATGCTGTGCAACCTGCTGTTGGCTGTTTTCAGTATTCCATTGTGCCACACAATCCTCCACTTGTGCAGGGTTTTACGAGAGAAGTGCCTTTTGTAACCAGCATGACTACTTTAAAGGTTCATACTACCTCAAAGTATGAGGCACCAGCTTCCTCACAGGAGGAAGAGCCTGCAGTAGCACCACGGAAGCCTGAATCAACTAAGTGGCCAGGGCAGAATCACTGGGAATATATCTACATGAGAAAGGCCCATTGCTAAATCTGGCAATGAGAACAAGTGTATCTGAGGAGATAAAGACTACAAGCCAGGTTAATGCCAAGAGTCCCAGAGAACAAGGGGGTGAAAGCAGCAATGCTTGGTACATCATTATCCCTCTGGTCCTGGTGTCTGTGCTACTCATTGTTGCTGTTACTTTTGTGTGCATTTTGTTAATGTGCCAGAAGAAAGAGAAGACGAAATCACTTGTCAAAAGTCAAGCAGATGCAATCCTCAGTAGTCCAGGTCGGTGTCTGGAATGGAGCTTGACTGTACCTACTGTTACAGTGACTCCTCTTCTGAAGGGTGCTGAGAGAAGTACAGCATCAACATTCATGGCAGTAAGACATGAGCAGCTGCTTCCTGCAGTGGTTTCTCCAACTATAGAAAGGCCTCTGCAAAACAGCATTTTAAATCTTGATCCTGAAGTCATCCAATATTGTCGGGAAACAAACCCAACTTTGAAGCGCAATCAGTACCAGGTGTAGTTACTCCAGTTTTGGTCATGCTAATTGATGTAGTATGGAACAGAGAATATACGTTGTTGACATATAATTTGTTCTTTATACACTCATTTATTATACGTCAAATGATGCACTAGATGAAATCTAAATACCTGTGAAATAATAATAATAAAAAAAATCTTAGTGATTACAGTGGCCATAAAAGAAGATTTCCAGCTAGTACATCAGCAAAGTTCTCACTTAATTCAGTGCAGAATTTGGCCTCATGTATTTTGAGTGCATTCTATGTATGCACTATTTTTTATTTTCCATGACAGGTAAAATGGAATGTTCTATCATGGATTATATATTTTTAATAGAATTACTTTTTTCCGAAGAAGTAATTTTTTATAAACGTCTTGTATTCCTTCCTGAACCATAACTTGTATTCGAAGAACTTTAAACTGTTCCAATAGGTAATTGCTATGGTGCTAATCTCAATAATATAATTTTGACCTGAAGGCTGTTCAGAGGCCAGTACTGAAGAAACAAAGCTGTGATTATTTTGACGGGTGTTCATCCAGGTCACTGAACTGGAAATCTGGAATTCAACTCAGCAACAATAGTACAGTACTGAATAAGGATTCTGGTAAAACGCTGTGAGATGTTGTTCGTTCTTTTGATTTCTTTTTCCTTATTTGATACTGAACTCTAGCCTTTAGTGTCTGCAGGCTGGCAAAATACATCTGTGACCCGTAATCCACATGCCAAAAACTGTGTATCTGCCAGCCAGCCTGTCTGCTGAATTATCTTCAGGCTTAGGTTATGTCTGGATGTGCATATCAAAATTTCCTACTCCTGACAAAGGGGTTAATTCTGCTTTCAGTGAAGCAAACGTAACTTTCTCTGGAGTTTGTGTATTCAAGCAGATGACAGTAGAATTAAGTCCTGTGCTGCATATTGTCATGTGTCATGGAGCTACTGATAGAAACAATCCTGTGAGGTAGTATGTGTCCTATTTTGAAGTTTCACAATTTACCCTTCATCTCCCAGAACACTGAACACATATGCCTTACACGCTACGAACAGAGTATTACCTACTTACTAACTTTGCTCTGGTGATAAAATAGTTTCTGTTCAAAGGGAATATTCTAGCATTTTTGGAAATCCAAGCTCTACAGTGATATGCAGCCTCCAGTTAAGGTCCAGTTTTTCTTCCACAGAGGACAAATGACAAAATTCCTGTTGACTTCAAAGAATGAACTGAATAAACTCAAGGGAATGGTGTTGTGATCATAACAAGTTTCTTACTACCACTCAAATCCTCATCTATTTTCTACCTCTATATTGTTACAGCTTCCAGATAGCTTCTTTGTAAAAACACTGTTCTCAGCACTCTCAGGACTGCACTCGCTCAGTTAACACTGGAATACCTCTTTTATTTAGGCCTACGTACTGTCATTTTCACTTTTATACAATGGATTTATGGATCTCAAGAGCGTTGGTGCTATTCATTTCATGCTGCTTTGTTTTGGATGATTTTTTATTGTTGATGATTAGGTATGTTTCTGTAATTTATATATTTCAATTATGGGAAATTTTTACCTACAAGGAGGGCCAGACTTAAACTCCATACTGCTGTGTTCTGATAACTAAACACAGGAGCACTGGGGATAGTCCCTCTCATTTTTACCACCTCTGCCATGTTCAGCCATGATCGCGGTGCATTTTTAAGCAATACATTTTTCAGAGCCCACTTCAAGGAGAGTAGCTCGTCACCAGAAAATATGCAAGCCATCTCTTCAGCTGGTCAAGTTGTTAGGGCACCAGAGACTAAAGATATGAACCCTTTATATGCTCAAACTAAAATGTATTTGAACACCAAGGTTTTTTGTCTGTCATTACCATATTTTCCCTGATGGCAGCATGTGAATTCAAGTAACTGATCAGTGTAAAAGGCTCGGGATGTTCATGTGTCTCTTATGGACCACTGTAGATCTGCATTGTGGACTTTCCTGCTTTTCCACTCTGGCACTGTTTTGAGGTGGTGTTGTCAGCCATCACAGAGGCAACCCAGCATCCTTTGCGGAGGTACAGCTGTATGTCTTTTGCCATTTCCTGAGACCTCTTCTACTAATACCAAGCAGACAGCAGCTTCCTCCAGATCCCAGCTGTCAGCTGCAGGCTGCCTCCAATGCCTTCTGGACAGTAGCAGCAACCTGATCCCTTTACACCTTCTCCAAGGCCACACTCCAAGGAGGAATAAAGAATTGTAATCCTGATGCTTTCCTGCCACCTAATGAAGCCTGCCCCACATTGCTCTACCACTGAGACTGTCCTGTTAACAGCAAGAGGTCTCATGCTCCAATTCTGACCAGGAGATCAAGTGGTGTGCCTACAGTTTGGTACAGTTTGGACAATGCAGAAAGCTCCTGGAGTCTGGTGACAAAATGCACACTGCTGACTTGTGACAGGCTGAACAAAAATATGAAAGTGAAATGCATGCTTCATGAGATTTTAATAAAGATATTGGTGTAAGGACAGGTGTGCCCAGATCGGGATGCGCAGTAGAGATGGAGCATGGGGCTTCTGTATTGCTGGCAATGTAAAAGTGAGACCATGACATAATAGTGACAAAGTCAAAGCACCTGCAATGCGATTAGAACTCCACAACTGGGCATTCCTGAGTTTGAGACTTGCATGCTCTGAGCAAGGAATCCTATATGAAAACCTCAGAAAAGGTGATAGAATTTGTGCAGGCTCTTTTGGCTTTAGCATAAGGGGATGAAGTCTTACTCACTGTTTCCAAAATGGCTTTGGCTGACAACAGATGTTCATTTCAAGTAGATCAGGAATTATGGGATTGAATCTTGAGCATTTGGCTCAATTTTTAAAACATTGAGGGTTTTTTCCAATTTTGTTTTTTGTTTGTTTTTAATTGTTAAAATCAGCCTAAACACCTAATTCATCAGAGTAGTGTGCAAGCATTCATTTTTCTCCCTCAGCTGTTGCTACTGTGAGGCAGCTGTGCCAAAATGGCTACCATATTATGCAATGTTTTAATGAAAACTGTGTATGGATGTGAGCTTATTGTGTCAGTGATTACTTGGTTTAATGCAAAATGCAGAGGTAATATTGTAGCTGATTACTACATATGAATTTTGCTTTAATATCCCACCCTGAATCCCTATTTAAAAAAAAAAAAGTAAAAAATCTGATTACAATAATGTAAACTTTCTCTGTGGATGGTACAGAGTAATCTTTGCCAGAGGACAGTCTACGTTGTTCACACACAGATGTTTTATATAGATGAGAGAAGTCAGTCCTGGCTTAGCTAGAAGTCCAGCTTTGAGATGGTACAGTCTAGCTAGGATGAATCACATACTGGGTTTCCTAAATTACTATCAATCTAGAAAACTCAAAAAACCCCCGCATTTTGTGCTTATGGATTCTTTTGTGATTCTAGGAACCTACGTAGTTAACGGTCAGGATCTGGTTTGAATATTTTGGTTGTTTCACTTGACCTTGAAGTTATATGTTTTATTTAGTGAAGATGAGGTTTGTGAAGGATTCCCTTTTTTACCAAATGGAGTTCTAAACTGCAACATGGAAGTCCCTTGAAAACATATATTAAATCAGTAAACTGTTTTGTTTATAATCTACACAGTTAAGTTTTTATGCTTTCTTTAAAGACCTGTGCAATGCTGTGTCACAACAGTGAAGAGACAGAACAGGATCCCTGTGCCAGTAACAGCATTCTTCTGAGTTTTATGATGTTTATTTTTTAAATTGCACATATGCTGGGATGGCTGTTTTGCCGTGCCCAGTGCAACACAATGTGTATGGCTAGAAAAGGAGAGACCTCTCATTGTGCGTCTAACCTGGCCATGTCCAGCGCTTGAATGAAAGTAACATGAGAATAAATACATTGATTTGAACTTGCTCAAACAGGACTGCACTGGGCTAATTTCAGGAAGATTTTCTGTTATTTAGCTGCACATGATTGGAAGATTTTAAAATATCACATTCTTAACTGTTAATACATCAGTGGTGTTTAGTCTTTGATTTTTCACTTGATCAAAAGTATGCACTTACTCCAGCCTCACACCAAATGCATTGTTCAACCTGATTTTTTTTTCTTAATCAGAACTCAGGTGCTTCGTAGTTGTTCCTGTAACTTGAGGTAAGGAACTTTCTCTTGATACATCAGAAATGCTGGTGGCCTGTGGGAGCAGCTTCCCCTGCACCATGACTCAGCATCCTGAGCGCAGAAATCTGTCTCAGCAGTAACGAGTCTAGTTCCCCTCCTACAGCTCAGAAAATGTTGGTTTGGGAAGAAGATAAAATAGGACAGAAATGGTCATAAACCTCTTATGGTTTTCCTTTTATTAAAATATTAGTAAGGGCCAGCTACACCTTTCCCTGCAGTATCCTATTACTCCCTACTACAAGGCCAAATCCAGAGTGAAGGTACTTACGTGTCCTTAGCTATAGGCTTCCATCCTGCCTGCACTGTTTTTTTCAATCAGTCCTTGTGATGCTATGTTGAAGTACATTCTGTGAATATTTTTAAATGGGCTGAAAATAATTGTCCTGGCATATTCAATGGAAACTGTATTAATTTATCTTCACCCGTTTCAAGCTAAATAATTCCTGCTAGAGTTTGCATATGTAATCCCAGAACAAAATGTTCTTTCATTGCAACTGGGGAAATCTGTATTTTCACATCTGTTTGTACGGAGATTCTGTGTGGTGAAGTGCTAGCTTTATGTGATTGTTTCCTCATTTCTAGTCTTGCTGCTTGGTTATATTTGTGGGAACGCTTTATACATGCTGGTAGGCACTGCCAGACATGGAATTATTTATAGGCTGAGATTTCAGCTGCAAAATATTTGCATAGCATCACAGTGAGAGGGGCATTAGTTTGCATAAATTTGTTGAGTAAAAATGTAGGATGAGCAGACTGAGCATTGATATGGGATGTTACCAAGTGTCAGAACTTCTTTGAAGAACACAAGCAGTAGATTGGAATAACTTCGTGCGATGTATAGCATGTGAATGATCACAGAGATTTACTCCAGCTCGTACACTGTACAACTTCATCTTGCACAGGTCCTTTTATATATGGTGCATGGAAGCACATTGATGAGGAAATTCTTGAGAGAATAAAAAAATCAGAGTAATCAAGAGTTTGTATTTCACATACAAGTACATATTCAAGCACATATAAATGAAAGGCAGAAGCACATAGGAGGTTGGTTTGAGACATGCAAAGCCACCAGGGAAGCTGCTTTGCTTAGCAGTGGGTGCTGAGGAAGAGGTTGTTTACAGAGGCAGGGGAAGGTAGTAGGATTACAGAGACAAGCTTTCTGGCATTAGATAGAGTTTCTAAAAGCAGGGGAAGGTCATTTGGAAGCAGACCTATGGGCATGTTTGAAAGGCAGAGGTGATGTGCTGGGTTCAGCCTCAGACAAGTAGGCTATGAGCCACTACTACTTGCAGAGCTCACCTCCCCGCGAGAGAATGGGAAGAGAAAGTATCAAGAGGAGTTTTGTTCCCACTAAAGGGGACAGTTGTATTGAGAGAGGGGTATGAAGACGTAAAAGTTCAGTTTGCCTTTTCTTCTGCTTCCCTCTGCAGCTAGCAAGAAATTAGTAGAAATAAATCTCCTATGGCATGAACATTTTGAGTGTTGACTTAGGAAGGTGGCTGCCTTTCAAGAAGTCCAGTTGTGGGTTCATCAGATCAGATTACCAAAATTCTTATATAACCATCTCCCAGTCTGGCTGAGCTAAGTTGCCTAGGGTGTAACTCAGATGTTAAAGTCTGTTGGCATGAATATTACCTTAAAAACAGAGCTACAAGGTTCAAAGTGCAGTGAAGTAAGGTGAACTTGCTTGGGCTTTTGACTGATTGTAGTTGTTATTAATGATTAATGGTAAATCTAGTTATCTGCAGACACTGAAAGGTATTTATAAGTAAGGCAACAGAGGTCTTGATTTTGGGCACTGAGCTAAGTAATGCAAACAAAGATGGACCTGAGCTTAGTCCTTGAAAGA